TTTTTTTTTTCTGCTTTCAGGTCTAAGAGTGGCCATTGTCTTGCCGGTTTGGCCCTTCCTGTTTCGGCGGAGTTGGTTTGGACCATCATTGGCTTGCGCCGTCAGGCATCGCCTCAGCATTGCACGACGCTCGCACCTTCCGCTAGCACGCACGCACACGCACGCGCACACCTCCACTGCACCCAATCCATCCATCCCCGCCCAGCCGCCTGGCCGCCCGTCCCCTGCTCGCCTGATCTGCACTCGCCCGCGCCTGGCAAAAGCGCAGAGTGTGAATCATCTCTCCGCAAATCTACGCGTATCCGGTCGCGGCCTCTCAATTCACGCCCTGCAGCCTGAGCCTGCTAAGATTCCTTCTTTGCGCCGCTTGGCCGGCCCTTCTCGCTCCTTGTGACCATCCCCTCGTCCCTCCTCGCTCGACTTGGGCCATCGCCATCATCGTTGCGCTCTCTCTCCCCCTCCTTCCCTTTCCTCATCTTTCCTATCTGCCGCTTCCGCTCGTTCCCGACCGCCATCCACTCGCAAAAACCGGGATGCTCCATCACTTCTAGTCTTTCTCGCCCGCTTTCGCGAGACAACACCGTTGCACATCTGCTTCCTTCTATTGCCCTCCATCGTCTGCGCTCGTTGCAACTCACAAGCCGCCTCGCTCCTCATCTTCTCTTACCGCCTTCCGGAAACCTTGCAGGTGCTTGTACGCTCATGATAGCCGCGCGCTTGGCTGTCAGCAACTAAACATCCGTTCGACACTCCCATCAAGGCATGACCGTGTCATACGTACGCTCTCCAAGCTTCTCCGCAAACAGCACATTCACCGATTTCCACCACGCATCACCCCCGCAATCCCCCATCGCATCTTGCGCCTCCTCGGCGGTCTCTGCTTCTCCGGTCCTAGGTCGAGGCTCGCCTAACCCCATCCCGGCTCCGGCTCTGGCCCCGGCTGCCCCGGCCTCGGACTCGGTGCCGCGCCCTACCGCACATCTCTCTTCTTCCACCTCTTCGCCCGCTGCTCTCAGCCTCGGTGTCGACGCAGCCAGCATCGTTATCCCCAACGATCGCATGGAAGCTGGTCTCAGCCTGCGAAGAAGCCCTTTACTCCTTGGAAGCGACTTTCCAGCCGAACCACGCGCCGCCGAAGCCGACGCTTCCTCCAACGGTGAAAGCTACGAGTCTGCCTTGACGGGCGACATCGATCTTCACGACCGCTTCGTCCTTCGACGCCCCTACGTCGACCGCGCCTTTCCGCATTCCAAACGCCGCAGCCAGCTCATCCTCGAGCAAAAGTTCAACCAGCACCGTTCCGCTGCTGCGTCTCTCTCGAGCGCCAACGAAGACGACTGGAACCCCACCTCGTCCTGGACCGCCTCGTCTCGCTCGCCTGCATCGCGTCGTCCCGGAACCGCGCCTCACCGCCCTCCGCTTTCGCCTCGCACTCCGGACTCGGCTCCCGCCTCCGTTCTCCTCGACTTCTCCGGCGCAAAATCGCCGATTGCCGCAGGAGGGCTACGAGAGCTTACGATCGGTGCGGCAGCTCAACCCGCTTCTAAGCGTGCCTCCTGGACCCGGCTCGCACGCGAATCCGAGGCCCGTAGCGACTCGCACCACTCGCCCAACGTGAGCCTCCTCGAAGCAGCTGCTCCCATCCAGCCCTCTACGGCCACTTCGCGTCGCCACAGCAGTTTCTTAACTGGCGACTATCGCACGGCCACCTTGATGCCCATCTTTGCCAACAAAAGCTTCGAGATCCCTTCGCCCCGCGCAGACAAACGCACAAGCGAGACCGTACAGCAGCTGCCCACTTCTCCAGACGCGGACCCAGCCCAGTCTTCCAACCTCGCATCGCTCTCACCGTCCAAACGCGACTCGATGCTGTCCACCGACTCGTCCGCCACGTCCTCGTCCAAGGGCGAGGCACGCTCATCGACTGACAATGTCGAATTTGAAGGCGACGACGCACAAAACCAGGCTCAGAGCTCCGCCTCTTCCGGCTACGGAGACGACGAGACCGTCGCTCGCAAAACGCCTCTCGGAAAGACCGAAGCCAGCAAGGAAGCGGCAACTTCCGTCGCCGAAGTCTTTACGACACCGCGAACCAGCGCCGAACACGAGACGGTCACAGAGGCCGCTCAAGCAACTGCACAAACCGACAAGCTCGAGACCGTCGATTCTCTGAACTCGGCCGGAACATCCGATGCATCGCAGTCTGTAGAGTCGAGCGAGGCCACTGCTTCAGACAACACGGCTGAGCTCGTGCCAGCGCCGGCCATCGTGCCATCCACCCTCGACCCGCTGCAGACCGCAGTCGTGCCACCCACTCCGCCAGAGCCCAAGTGGATCCCGCCAAACGGCGAGTCGGTCTCGCCGACCAGCAGTCCGTCCAAGACTTTTCGCAGCCTTGACGCTGTCGGCGATTCTCCGCGCAGCCGCCGCAACCGCTCGCAGGCCTCGATCGAGAGAAGGCCAAGTGATACCCCGACCAGCCCGTTTGCGACGCTCTCGATCCCCAACAGCAAGTCAAATGGAAGCATTGTGGGTGCTGGCAGGCGCGGCAGCTCTGCGTCCGTAGCTTCTGTAGCCAGTTCTACCTCGACATACCGCATCCGTCGAAAGCCCGTCCCGTCGGATGGCGGCGGCGATGCCGATTCGGATGTCCTGGCAGTGTCGCCTCAGCCAAGTCCCGCCCCGCAGGAAGCTCCTCTGCCCAGCACCGAGGAGGAAGAGGGAACGCATATGATTCAGCATGCACGCACTCCTAGCGGCGCGGACTTCATGCGCAAGGCACAGGAAGCCGCACAGGCCCACATGCTCGCAAAGAAGGCTGGCGGCTCCGCACCCGATCGTCGGCCTGCAAAGAGCAGCAAACGGCCCAGTACCGCTCTCGCCGCCACCGGCGTATCCCTCAAGCCCGGACTTGGCCTCGGCAAGCAGCCCTTCGCCAGCGCATCGGTTCGAGACCTCAAGGAAGCCAATGGCAGCCTGCCTGCATCTTCTTCCGGCTCCGGCCCTAGCGGACCTGGGGCAAGTGCCTCTCGCCCGGCATCGAGGGCTACGATCAAGCGGCCCACGACCGCACCCGTCGGATCTACTGGTCAGTTCCGCGTTGCGAGCGATGCGACGTCCAAGTCGGTCCTCGAGGTGGAAGGTCTGCAGTTTGTGCTGGGCAAGGACGATGCTACAAAGGCCAAGCCCGTGCTCGAGGGCTCGCCGTCCATTCCCAATGCAGTTCGCTTCCTGCAGCACCAGCGCAACGGCAGCACCGGCGCCGATGCAGCGAGCGTTGGTCACAACTCGCTCAGGGATTCGCGACGCAAGTCGGCCAGCACCCACGATTCGCACCACTCTGACGCGGTCAGCGCCAAGCCCGGCGGTCTCAAAGCGACGTCTGCGGCAGTCGCGGCCGGCGCCAAGCCAAACGCGTCTGCAGGCGGATGGGGCTTGGACGAGGAGGTCAAGATTGCCGATCGAGTCCAAGGATCCACGCAGGCCGCGCCGAGCCCGAAACCGAGGCCCGTCTCGATGGACAAGGGCAAGAGGTCGCTCGACTTTTCGGCCAAGTCGAACCTCAAGAACAGTATGCTCATGAACATTATCAACGAGGACGAGTCGGACGAGGTCAAGGCAGCGGCGCGCGAGGCAGGCATCCCGGAGGGATCGTACGCCATCCATCCACCGTCGATGCTGCAGCTGTTCGAAGCGTCCCAGTGCCTGGTGTACGACCAGACGGGCAAGGAGGTCATCTTCGGCGATCTGTTCAAGAGGCGACGAACGCTGGTGTGCTTCCTGCGACACTGGTGGTGCGGCTTCTGCCAGCAGTTTGCCATGTCGATCCGACACATCGACCCCTTGCCGCTCAAGAAGGCCAACATGGATTTTATCATTGTGGGTCAAGGAGACTGGTCCGTGATCAAGGCGTACCGCGAGGTGATGCAGGTGCCCTATCCGATGTTTGCGGATCCCAAGCGCAACGTCTATCGCGCGCTCGGCATGACGCTGCGCACCAACGATGCCAACCCGGTGTGTGCCCGCCCGGACTATGCAAGCATGGGCATGACCAAGGGCATTTTGGTCGCCATCAAGAAGGGCCTCTTTGACATGCCCATCCGCAACCCAGGCGACATGAAGCTGCTCGGCGGAGACTTTATTCTGGGACCGGGCCTGCAATGCTCGTTTACGCACCGCATGACCACGGCCGACGGACACATGGACCTGCCAAGAATCCTTGCGCAGGCTGGATGTGACTTGTCGCTCAAGACGCCCAAGCCGCTGTACACGGTCGACGAGAAGGAGGCGCGTGCGGCCATGTTGGCCGGAGGCAACCAGAACCGCCGCCAGACGCGCTCGCTCGGTCGATCGCGCGGCAAAAAGTCGAGCAAGTCAGATGCCGCCGGTCTTGATGGCAGCTTTGGCACGACGAGCGGTGCCGGTGCTGCAGCCGCTGCTTCGACGGGGTCTGGAACGGGCAGCTCGCGATTCGCTCGGCCCAGCATCTGGGGCCGCTTCCCCGGTCGATTCAGCAAGTCGCAGGCGTCGCTGCCGATGTCCGAGTCGATGGCGGATCTGAGCTCGGACTTTGGACCTGCAAGAGGGCTGAGCGCTGGGCCGCGATCGGCCTCGGCGATGCGCAAGATCTCGTACGACGGCCGCGTGCGCGACTCGTTTGAGACGCAGCAGACCGACATTGAGTTCGAGTCGCGCGCCACCTCGATCGACACGCGCCGACGCCCGAGCGATGCCTCGATGCCGTCGGGCACGTTTGGGCTGAACAAGGCGCAGTCCATGTCGGAGCTGCGCAAGAGGTTCGAGCTGGGTGGACTGCGAAGCAAGTCGCGACAGGAGCCGTCGAAAGCCAAGGCGTCGCTCGAGAGCCACCTGACGGTGCCGCGCGGAGGGGCGAATAGCCTGCAGCACAGCGTGTCGACCAAGTCGCTTCGAAAGGAGGAAGGCAGCGGTGCTGTGACGCCCAGCGGAGCGGTGACGCCCACTCCTCCGCAGCCACCGCCGAAAGACACGCCGACGACGCCGAAGGAATCCACACGGGGACCCAAGCAGCTCTCTGTCTTCCAGAACAAGGTCATCGCCAAGGCGGACGACGCGGCTGCCCCGGCCATGACTGGGCTGGGTATCGCCACCGTCGGCGATGCGACGCCTGCAGTGGGCGAGGATGGCGTTATGGAGAATGGAGCCGCGACGCCAAAAGACGGAACGCCGCTTGCCAGGTCGATTGCGGAGCTGTCGGCACCGGGCAGCTTCCTGATGGATCTGGACGTGTACGACTCTCTGTCTCGACAGCCATCGCAGAAGTTCTACGGCAAGCCCAAGGCGAATGGCAATGGTCGGCTGGAGGCGGGCAGTGCCGACAGCGGGCTGTCGCCGAGTCAGTTCAGCGACGGCGGATTCGGCCAAGAGGCGGCGGATGCGGACAGCGATACGGAGCCGTCGATGTCGGCGAATGCGTCGCCTGTGCGCACGCAAAAGACGACGCCGAGCAGCAGCAACGGCAGTCTTGGCCAGAGTGCCAGCTCGAGCTTCTTCAGCTTCGGCACGTTCCGTGGCAAGACCAACCTGGAGCACCTGCCCGAAGAGGCGGACGAGGACGAGAGCGATGCATCGCGCCGCAGTCGCGACGAGGAGTCTCACGACGACGAGGATGACGACGACGAGGAGGAGGATAATGATGAGCCGATCCAGTTTGAGGATGGCCGTTCGGGACTGTTCTAGTTCGATATGGATCCATGTACTTTTTGTAATGCTTCACTCTGTGTGGTTCTGCTTTAATATTTTGAATTCAAAGTCGACATATGCGATGCTTGCAGGGGCTGCGATGCGCATGAAGATGAGGTGAGTGAGGGTATGGGGCTAGGTAACGTGGCCTGGACGTCTTCGGTGGGGAGGGCGCAGCTTCCATGGACCTGGGGTATATCGAGAGTTTTGATTTTGCCTTGTGTGAGAGACGCACTAACCAACACAATTTTCGGCCAAAAAAACTCCACTTGCTGCTGCAGGACATCGGTAGATCCTATGCAGTTCGACGACGTTTGACACCGGCAGAAAATGTTGCGCGATTGAGTCATTGCAGCTATCACAGCATCGTCACATCTGCGAATGTTCTCAGTCTCGCTCTGACCTCGAGATCTCTTGCGCTAGCATGTACCGTAGCTCGAACATCGGGGAATACTAATAACTTGATTGAGTCATCACTTCGACGACGAGAGGGGTTGCAAAAGACATGGCAAGCTCGGTTCCGCGGGAGGTTGGATCCGGGAGGCTGAGAATGTGTAGGCGAGCAGCCAGCAGCGCACGCGAATGCCGCGGGTAACCCAATCTCCCGGACAGCACCGCGGGCATGCCAATTTTCGCACGGCTCCCGGGCTAGGCACGCACGATCCCCCCAACCAAGGCCGGAGACAAAGCGCCGAACAGTCAACCTCAGGTCTACGACTCGCAACTACAGTACATCCCATTGCTTCCGACGTTTTCAGCTAGTTGAGCTTGCGATGATGTTCGAGCAAAGAGGTCGGTGGTTTCGCGTCTCAACTACATAGCAGCGAGCTTTGATTTACCGACAAGAATCAAGGTCGCAAACCATGAGGGTCAGCTCGAAGCTCCAAAGATGACAAGCGGCGCAGCTGACAGCCACTGCGACGCGCCTTCACGTCAGTGCGCGAGGGAGAGTGATGAGCGATGACACAAGCGCCCTACGCGCCGCTCGCCGCTCTAAGCCTCCAAACGCGTCCCGGAGCCTAATCTCCGTGGACTGGGAAAAAAATCGTGTCGGAAAAGTAGCCGTGTCAGCGGAGCTTTGGCGCAGAGTCAGGTGGGTTTGGGCGCCTTAAATTTAACTTTGCAGGTGGCGGGCGGCCCTTCCGACACGGTGATTTCCTCGGCTCTCCAAAGGCTGCCCGGAATCGGATCATCCGTCGCAGAGTGCAGCAGTTGCAAAGTGCCAAAGCGACAAGCCGTCCGATCCATGGCTCAGCTGCGCTGCTCCTCGTTCCCTCCTCCTCCTCGTGGCTGGTCCGGATCTCTACTTCCATCCCCTCCGTTCTTGCATCTCTACCACGACCGCTTCCACATCCCACCGCCCGTCAAACTCTGCACCCGCAAGCCTTTCCTGCCACGAGTCCATCGGCTTCTCTCTTAGCTCTTTCAAACGCAAGGGTCTCCCGCGGCACTTTCTAGACTCTCTCTCTCTCTCGCTCGCAGCCGTCGGCCGTCGTCGTCATAGCTGCGCATCTGCACCCTTGATCCCGTAACCCCGGTAGCCACTAGCACTACGCACCAAAACTTTGCCTCATCCCTTAAACACCTCCCTCCATCGCCCTTGCCCTCCCTCCTCTCTTCTCCTCCACCATGTCTTCACAACACGCAGACCTTACAAAGACCCAATCTCGCGCATCGAGCACCGGCACACGCTCCTCCATCTTTGGCCGCGCTTCTGGATTCATGATGGGCCACCGACGTCCACAAGCCGCTTCCGAGAGCCAGGCGGGCGCTTCGTCGTCCCAGCTCGACCTCGCAGCCACCCCCTCCGCCGACGCAAAGGCCGGCGTGCGCAAGTTTGAGCACATCTTCCCCGCTCCCGATCCCAGCGTCAAGCTCGCCCCGCCCGCTCCGCTCTCCGACTCGCAGCAGGCAAAGTACGACGAGATGCTCCAGCATTTCAAGTCTATCGACGAGTTCCCCACCTCGCTCAAGGCCAACTCGCCCAAGAAGCCGCTCACCGAGTGGGAAAAGATGCGCAACCTCTCGCGCGAGTCCATGATCCGCTACCTGCGCGCCACCAAGTGGGATGTCGCTTCGGCCAAGAAGCGCCTCACCGAAACCATCGCCTGGCGTCGCGAGTACGGCGTCGACGGCCTCAAGGCCGAAGATCTCGAGCCGGAAGCCATGACAGGCAAGGAGACCATCCTCGGCTACGACAACAAGGGCCGACCGCTCCACTACATGCATCCCTCGCGCAACACCACCGACGAGACCCCACGCCAGATGCAGTACGCCGTCTGGATCCTCGAGCGCGCCATCGACCTCATGCCGCCCGGCGTCGAGATGCTCGCGCTGCTCATCAACTTTGGCGGCAAGAAGCGCAACCCCACCTCGATCAGCAACGCCAAGCTCATGCTCTACATTCTCCAGAACCACTACGTCGAGCGTCTGGGCATTGCGCTCTGCATCAACGTGCCCTGGATCTTCAAGGCCTTCTGGAACGCCATCTACCCGTTCATCGACCCCGTCACCAAGGGCAAGTGCAAGTTCGACGAGGCCATCAAGGACGAGGTGCCCAACGCGCAGCTCGCCACCGACTTCGGCGGCCTGCTCGACTTCCCCTACGACCACGAATCGTACTGGCCCCAGCTTGTGAAGCTTACGGACCAGCGTCGCGCCGAGCAGCTCGAGCGCTTCCGCACGCTGTGCGACTCGCAGGTGGGCGCGTCCGAGTGGGTCATCCGCGGCGGCGACGACCGTCGATCTACCGCGCCCGTCAAGCAGGACTCGGGCTTCCATGAGGCCGTCTCGCCTGTGGCGGCGCGCGCCGAGTCGAGCAATGGATCCACCGTGGTCGAAAAGGCGTCGCCCGTGTACGAGGCCGAGGGCGACGACGAGAGCCAGCTCGACCGCTTCTACACGTCGCAGCAGGAACTGCCGCCGCAGCTCGAGAGCAACGAGTGGGAGAACCAGACCGCCGTCAGCCACGATGCCAAGCCGCACGCAAAGGAGCACGGCGACGCCAGCTTCTTTGCTGCTGTCGTTGGCGGCGTCTCGGCGGGTCTCGTTGGGGGTAAGGCGGCTGAAGTTGCAGCGAATCAGACGAGTGGACGCGCACACACCGAGGCCCAACTGCACGACAAGCACAACCACAATCACACGCAGCACAACGCGACAAAGTCGCAAGAACCGCAGCCTGCGCCTGTCTCGGCCTGATCTCAGACACCATACCGCCCGCATATTAGCCTGGATACCTCATCTCTTCTTTCGCAGTTTGTTTGGAATGCATCTTTTGTCCTTGAGCACGGTCGGGCTGTGTTGGAAGCTCGCCAGATGTGTCGACGAGCCGTGTGATCGAGGTTGTGTTGGCGGCAAATGCTCTTTTGGACGCACGAGTCACACTTTTCCGACACGATGAGACGAAGCATTGCCATTCCAAGGGCCAGACATTTGGGGAGAGGAGGGGGAAGATTTTCGAGTCTTTACGCGGGGGCAGGAAGGATCTAGAGAGTGCCGGGCTTGTCCGAGTGGAGCCAGGTATTGAACATGGCGAGGGCGGCTTGGGGCTGGTCGTGGGGGACAAAGTGGCCTGCCGCATCAACGATGGCGTAGGTCAAGTTGTTGGCGTTCTTAAACTCTCCACCCTGCGTCTTGTCGGGCAAGAACCACTTCTGGAGGGGTTGTTTGTTGAAGTGCTTCTTGCCGGACCAGGGGAGGTGTTCGCTCCAGGCACGGTTGCCGAGGTAGTTGCAGATAAAGTCGCGTCGGCCCGAGTAGGTCAGCACACGCACACCCTGTTCGAGAATGCTCGATACAGCCCAGCTTGAATCGCGTGCACCATCGCCCGTCTTGCCAAAGTTGGCGTAGACATCGTCCGAGCACCCCACGAATACTCCATCGTGCTTATCACCGGGGCCTTTGCCGTCGACGCCCAGGGCGTGCTTGGTTTCGGCGTCGTTGAGGAATGCTGCCACCCAGTCTTCTTCATCGTACTTGGCAGGATGTTGCCAGTCGTAAGGCGACTTTTTGAGCGTATCGTAGGGTGAGGCGAGGGCGCCTTCACAGTAGTCCGACGCAGCCTTGCATGCAAGCGTATCGTACGTGCGGCCGTGTTTGTCTTTACGGTTGCACTTTTCGACGAGCGTTAGACAGGCTGGGATGCTCTCGTACATTCGGTCGCACGTCTTCTTCGGCAGCAGCGGATGCTTCGAGCCCGACTTTTTGGTGCAGGTATACTCGACGTACGCAGGGTACTGGTGCTTGGGGCTCGTGATGCCGTTACCGATCAGCACGCTTGCGAGCGATAAAGGCTGCAGACCCATCTCGGGATGCTTGGCGATGCGCTTGTTGTCCGCCAGAATCTGGTCGGCCAAAAGCGGGATGTAGCGGCCCGCATAGCTCTCGCCGGCAATGTGGAAGGATGGGAACGTCTCGCCGTCGCCATTGAAGATCTCGCGGCCCATGTGCATGGCGAGCAGGTGCAGGAACGCAGATGCATCGTGGGCAGCCGATTCGGCAGAGAACACGCGCGAAGGAGGCTTGTCCGTACGCGACTGGTTGGCCCAGTCGACGTACGAGTAGCCGACGCCTACGGGTTGGTCGAGAAAGATGACGGTGGCGTTGTTGTTCCATGCCCACGGATTGCGTTCCGTGCCCGGCTTGCCGCCGCGCGTTGCGGGGTCCACAGCATTGCACGGACCCAGCTCCATCAGCAGGCCCGTGAACGACGAGCATCCCGGTCCGCCGTTGAGCCACAGCACCACCGGGTCGGTCTTGGGGTCGTTGCGCGACTCGAACGCCCAAAAGTAAAAATGCTCCATGGCTCCCTTGGTGCGTCCGTCCTTCTCGTGCCGGGTCGCAGAGAGCGCAGAGTCAAGCCTGGGGTGCGAAGAAGGGTCGTGCTTGAGCGCATCGACGTCGACATCGAGGTAGCCCGAGTACGACTTGACCGAGGCGTCGCACAGGTCGGCGCGCGGCGACACGACACGCAGCGAGTGCGCGGGCAGGTGCGGATGGTCGAGCACCCTAGCCACCGGAGCGCGTGCCGGCTGCAGTTCAAAAGGGATCTGTGCCGCGCGAATGGCGGTGGCAGCGAGTGCAACAAGCCCACTGGCAAACAGCGTAGGCCGCATCTTGAATGGCCGGCAGAAGGAGGTGCTGGTTGTGGGGAAGATAGGAAGGTGGTCCCGGGCGTGCAGCCAGAGATATCCAGATGCGGCTGAGCGTCAGTGCGCATCGCCCTCAAATGATTATGGCATGCTGATTAAGGGAGCGAGTCCTCTTTGTTAGATCGATGTGGCATCGGAAAGAATTTTGGAAGATCCGTGGCGAGCCGAGAAGAGTCACACAATTTCTCGCTCTCTCGCTCTCTGCACAGAGCGTCGATTGATAGCCGTGGCGGCGGGCTTTTATCTAAGCCCACAGCTGCTGTCCTTCTCACTTTGGCAACAGCTGTGTCGGGGGTGCGGTGTGCGATTCAGAGTTGGAGTTGGAGGCGCCGGCTGTAACGCTTTTGGCTTTTGCCGCTCGGCCTTGCCGTTCTGTTTCCCTACCCCCATCATTCAAAAAAGCATCGTGTGATCCTCTCCGTGATGCAGCAGCTCACCACCCCGTTGCTTCCGCTCCTCGACGCGGACAGCGTCAAGGACTCTGCGCTCCTTGGCGCCCTCGGCCGCATCGCACCCGTGCTTGTGCCCCAGGACCTCGTCTCGGCACTCCCCTCCGACGTCGCCTACCTCGTCCTCGCTGCGCCGGCTCTCTCGTACGATGTTGCCGCCGACCTCCTCGACGCAGGCGCAGAGGCCATCGTGACCGCCGATACCCAGCTCATCCAGCAGTTCGACGCCGCCGTCGCTGCTACTCGCTTCATCTACCTCTCGGCTTCGGGCGCACCACCCGCACCCGAGACGCTCAACGCCGTTGCAGGTGCCGTCGTCACCCTGCCCACCGCCTCGGCCATTGCTGGCGCCACGCAGCTCGTCCAGGCCACCGCAGACGGTCTGCAGGCCAAGACGTCTGGCAAGTCGCTCTTTGTGCTCGCCCCTTCCGGCGTGCCTTCGGTGGACGACGTCAAGGCGCTCGCCAAGCTCTCGGCCTCTCTCATCGCCCCGTCATCGGTGCTGTCTCTCGCTGAAGAGGGCCAGCAGCAGCAGGGCAAGCTCGACATCGCCGACGCCTTCCTGGCGCCCCTCACCTCGGACCGCACCGACGGCCTCTTTGCCACCACCGTCGTCTCCGCCGCCGGCTCCGCCTCGCTCGGCCTCGTCTACTCGTCTCCGCTCTCCATCCGCAAGTCCATCCTCACCGGATCCGCTCACTACCAGTCGCGCAACCGCGGTCTGTGGCACAAGGGCGAGTCGAGCGGCGCCACCCAGCAGGTCGTCTCCATCCGTCAGGACTGCGACTCGGACGCGCTCCAGTTCGTAGTGAGGCAGTCGCGCGGCACCTCGGCTTCGGGCTTCTGCCACCTCGAGAACCGCGAAAGCTGCTTCTCCTCCGCCACGGGCCTCGCCAAGCTCGAGGCGACGCTCAAGCAGCGTCAGCAGTCGGCGCCCGCCGGCAGCTACACGGCGCGTCTGTTTAGCGACGCCTCGCTGCTGGGCGCCAAGCTGCGCGAGGAGGCGGCCGAGCTCGCCGATGCGAGCAACACCGACAAGCAGCACGTGGCGTTCGAGGCGGCCGACCTGCTCTACTTTGCGCTCACCAAGTGCGTGTCGGCGGGCATTGGGCTCGAGGAGATCGAGGCCTCGCTCGACGCCAAGGCCAAGAAGGTGTCGCGCAGGAAGGGCGATGCCAAGCCTGCGTTTGCCGAGCAGCAGAAGGCGGCCGAGGCCAAGGCTAAGACCGCACCCGCTCCCGCCCCCGCGGCACAGCAGCCCAAGGACGCCGATGCGCCTATCAAGATCCAGAGCTACCGGTACGAGGAGCTGTCGGCATCGCAGCGCAAGGAGCTGCTCAAGCGTCCCGCGCTGCGCACCGAGCAGGTCATGGAGATCTGCCGCCCCATCCTGGGCGCCGTCAAGCAGCGTGGCGATGCGGCGCTGCTCGAGCTCACCGAAAAGTTCGACCGAGCCAAGCTGCAGACGCCGGTGAGGCTGCCGCCTTTCGTCAACGACGAGGTGATGGCCAAGATCAAGCCCGAGGTCAAGGTGGCGATCGACATTGCGTACGACAACATCTGGAAGTTCCACAAGGCGCAGAAGACGACGTTTGGCAACAAGCGCGCCGCGGACGTCGGGGCGGCGGGAACGGTCGAGGCCAACGAAGCGCCCGAGGATGGCGTGCTCGAGGTCGAGACGATGCCGGGTGTGGTGTGCCGTCGATTCGCGCGTCCGATTCAGTCGGTGGGATTGTACGTGCCGGGCGGATCGGCCGTGCTGCCCTCGACGGCGTTGATGCTGGGTGTGCCGGCACAGGTGGCGCGCTGCCCGACGGTGGTGATCGCCACCCCACCCAGACCCGATGGAAGCATCTCGCCCGAGGTGCTGTACTGCGCATCCAAGGTCAACGCATCCGCCATCCTGTGTGCAGGAGGTGCCCAGGCTGTAGCCGCCATGGCGTACGGTACCGAGACGTGTCCCAAGGTGGACAAGATCGTGGGCCCGGGCAACCAGTTTGTCACGGCAGCCAAGATGCTCGTGCAGAACGAAACGGACGCGATCGTGTCGATCGACATGCCTGCCGGACCCTCCGAAGTGCTGGTCATTGCCGACAGCTCGGCTGATCCGGCCTTTGTGGCGAGCGATCTGTTGAGTCAGGCTGAACACGGTCCTGACTCGCAGGTGGTTTTGGTCGGCATCGCACTCACGCCGGCTGAACTTCAGGCTATCGAGGATGAGGTGGATCGTCAAGCGCGTGCCTTGCCTCGAGTCGAGGTGGTTCGTCAAGCGATCGACAAGTCGGTCACTGTGATTGTGCCCGACCGCGCAACGGCGCTGGAATGGTCCAACGCCTATGCACCCGAACATCTCATCCTCCAAACGATCTCGCCCGAAGAGCTGGTTAAGCTCGTCACCAATGCCGGCTCGGTCTTTGTCGGCGCCTGGTCGCCCGAGAGTTGCGGAGACTACATGAGCGGCACCAACCACTCGCTCCCCACCGCCGCTTACGCCAAGAGCTACTCGGGCGTCAATGTCGGCACCTTCGAAAAGTGCATCACCTCCCAGGCCCTCACCAAACAGGGCCTCCGCGGATTCGGTCAGAACGTCATCGACCTCGCAATGTGCGAGGGCCTCCAGGCCCACGCCATGGCCGTCAAGATCCGTCTCGACCGAATGGCCTGAACCGCCCGTTCCTTCTGCATGTACATATCCATAAAACCTGCGTGTGCTTCCACCATCTGTCTGTGCGCCTCACTCGTATACCTGTGCGCGCGTGTGTGTGTATAGAATAAAACGAGGGTATTGAGCAAAAACAAAACAAAAAAGGCTACATACGGCCGCTGGCGGCCTTTTCATCGATCTCGGTCTCCGGTGGCCCACTACCGCTGCCACCCGCACGCCCATACGTCGCAGCAGGCACGGCAAGCTGGTCGTTCTTCTCGCTGTACCGCTCGACGCCAAACGAGCCCGAGGGCGATGCGGATCTCGCCCTGCCCTCGTGCGGCACCGGCGTGAGCCTCTGCGCTTCCCCGGCGGGTGTCACGGGTGCGGGTGCGGTTTCCGAAAGCGGCTGGTCCTGGAGCGTATGTGCGACCGACGAGATCTGCGACAGCTCGTGCTCGCCCGCCTGTCCCTGCTGCCCCTGCGCCTGCCCCTGCGCATGCGCCGCTGCCTGCCCATTCGACGCCCCCGCTGCGGCGGCGGTGACACCACTCGCCCGCGTGCCGCGAAAGTACGACTTGCGGCGCTGCTTGAGATGGTCGAACGGCAGAAAGTGCTCCTCCATCTGGCGCATCTCGGGCGGCAGCGCATCAAAGTCCGCATTGCCGTTGCGCTTCTTGGCCTTGAGCGGATTATCCTCGAGCAGCAGTTCCTCGAGCTCGTGCGTGGCGTCAAAGTTGGCCTTCTTCGAGTCCGGTTCGAACGGCGGCGGCACCTGCTTGGCCTCCATGGCGGGCCAGTCCATGCCGGCGAACCAGGCGTGCGTCTTGAACTCGTCGATGCCACTGCGACATCCCAAACGCTTGCGCGGATCGCGCTCGAGCAGGCTCTTGATGCAGCTCACCGTCTCGCGGCTCACGAGGTTCTCGACATTGTCCGGGAAGGTGCAGCGGTCGTTGAGGATGGAGTGGGTGAGCGCCGAGTTGGTCTTGCCGCGGAAGGGGCGTCGTCCGAAGAGCAGCTCGTACGCCACCACGCCGAGCGACCACCAGTCGACGGAGCTGAGGTAGCCGCGCTTGGTGAGCACCTCGGGCGCCATGTACGCCATGCTTCCGGCGATGCTGGTGAGCGGCCGCCTTGGCGAAAAGTGCACCGCAATGTTGAAGTCCGTCAGATGCGCATGGCCCTTTTCGTCGAGCAGCACATTGTCGGGCTTGAGGTCGCGATGCACGATCTGCAGCCGGTGGAGATAGTCGAGACCCAAAGCGAGCTCGGCGACGTAGAAGCGGACGACGTCTTCGCTCATGTTGCCCGTGCGGTCGAGGTGGAAGCGCAGATCGCCGCCGAGCATGAGGTCGAGCACCATAAACATGTTTTCGTCGTCCTGGAAGGCGTAGCGCAGGTTGCACACGAAGGGCGAGTCGATCTCCTCGAGCAGCCTGCGCTCCTGGATGATGTTGGACACCGCGCGCATCTTGATGCACTTTGCCTTGTTGATGTACTTGAGCGCATATAGGTCCTTGGTCTGCTTGTGCTGCACCACTCGCACCTTGCCAAAGGCGCCCTTGCCGACGGCTCGGAGCAGGTAGAAGTGGTAGAGGTCGACGGGACCGTCAAAGTCGATCACCTCGGGCTTGCAGCACACGGCGCCCATTTTGGTGATGCGGTTGGTGGGAGGAAAGGGGGGAATGATCTATGCTGGTGCGGTGCGCATGTGATTAGGAAGTCGGAAGCTGATGAATCGATGCGGCTGAAAAGAAGAGACGGGATGCGGACGATGATGCCAAGGAAGGTGCTGGGTGGATGCGTCTAGCGAAGGGACAAGCGGTGTTGGGAGGAGTGACGGCGTGATCCAAGAGACAGGCGGGGTATACGATGAGAACGCCAAGGCCTTGTTGCACTGCTCGCCAGCGAGATTGAAGAGGGCAAAGAGTGGCAAGCGCTATTGCCCGTTGGACGAAGCCATGAAGCGTGCTGATGGAAGTCGTCGAGGGGGCGACCTGGCTTCGAAGCACTGGACGCCACGTGCCGACAGCGACGGGTGACGAGAAGGATGAGGTGTAGAGGCTAGGTTGCGGCGGCAGTGGATGAAGGTGGGGGGAGAAGAAAAAGGAGGAAGAGGATGTGGCGGCGGTGGGTGGCAAGGATGGTGTCGAGCGTGGAATCGCTGGTGCTGCTGGGTTGCAGTTGCGTGTCTCGAGAGAGAGCGGCTAGGATGTGGTGTGGGTGTGATTCAGGGTTTTGCTGGGGCTGCCTCGACTCGAGGGGAAAGGGAGGGAGAGAGAGAGAGGGCGACGAGCGTGCGTGCGTGCGCTTTGGCTGCGTTGCGTTGCGCTGCGTTGCGCTGCAGGCAGACAGAGAGAGAGAGAGAGAGAGAGGTGGGCGGAGTGCGGTGCAGGGTGAGGTGAGGTCCAGTGCGGTGCGGTGTTGCGAGTTTTTGGCTGCGTCGGCGG